TTATATTTACTACTTGTGTTTGCCTGGTATTGGTAAGCTACTGTTTTGGTGACCGTGCTTGTCTTGTTCACTACAGATGGATGGAACCTCTTTTACAATGACATTTTTTGGTGAGGGTTACAGTGAGGGGCAAGATCCCCAGAGTGGCAAACCAAATGTGAAGATCTGCACTGAAGTGAAAGGACCAGGTATGTATGTTAGTAGCAGCTAACTGCTTTTGCTTTGCATTCCCTGCTCCAAAATAGGTTTATGATCCCACTGCTCTCTCTTTCACCCTTGAGAAGCACTTGCAACATGAACAAGGTCAACAACCTTTACAGTGTATTACCTTGGATACTAGAATTCATTGTGACCTGGCTTTTGAAACAGCCAGTTCACTTGCATTCTTGTCATTATCTTTCCTCTGGCTTTCCCTGTTCCAATTCTCATTTTTGCCTAGTAGAGCCATTGAAGGGAGAGGGCTTTAAGGATAGCCTTTAGTTGTTATAGCCTGGACTTTTTACTTGTTTTTTTCCAGTTCCCTGAGAGTGAACTTAACCAGGTCTGGTGTGATATAATTTCTAGCTCTAGCATACTTCTGTTCAGGTCATTCCTTGAGGGGAGATGACACCCAAAGTGGATTGGAGAGAGCAAGAATCTACGTTCAGAAAGGAGTTAATGTAGCATAGCTTCTTTAAATAACTAGAGATGTAGCTGAATTCAAGCATGTCACAGCAAAGGCCTGAATTCAGGCATAGGATGGGGAAAGTTCTTGCTGTATCAGAGAGTACTCTCTCACTATGGTGGTGTGGTGTGGTTATAGGCCTATATGTGAAGCAGTATTTGTCTGGATTAAATCTTAAGGATTTCACCAGCTACTTGGGCTGATTACTAGGTAAAAAACGCTGTTCTTAAATTGGGAAGGCTGTTTCATTGCCAAAGAGATTATTCTTCAGAATGCCATAGGGAAGAACAAGATTACATTCTACATTTCAACACACTAAATCATTTGGGGTTTTTGTTTTGTTTGTCAGAGCCTGGATATGTTGCTACACCTATTGCAATGGTTCAAGCAGCTGTATCTCTTCTGGAAGATGCAGCTTCTCTGCCTAAACGGTAAGTACTTTCCCATTCTGAGCAGTTTGCTCTCCCTTAAACATTTTCACACAGTGGCTTTCTCTTTGAAAATACACTTATCCACCCTGTGGATTTCTGTGTTACCTGACCCAACTGGCTGTGCAAGGGAGATGCTTCACCACAAGCTCATTTAAAGCCACTTAGTCTTTCCCAGTCTTTCAGTTTGAAAGGATGTAGTCATAGGCTTTTAGTCAGGCTTTTGCATCAGTGTCTCTAAGTTCAGTTAATGCAATGGTTTCTCTTGGGTTTGCTGGATGCAGAAATGAATCTGTGATTATAACCACCTTGCCAAATTACTTATCCACTCTGTTCTGGGACAAAGTGGCTTTTTCTTTCTTAGTCATGGAAGCACATCCTTGACTTCACAAAAAGATATCCCTCAGTCACTGTGCCACTAATGTTTTTCTCTTTTCACCAACAGGGGTGGTGTATATTCTCCAGGAGCTGCCTTCTCCAAAACAAAACTGATTGATCGCCTCAACAGCCGTGGTGTTGAGTTCTCTGTTATTAGCAGGCCTGAAGTCTGAAGTCAAAATATAACTATGAATTAACACCTTTCCTGGGTCTAATTCCAATAAAACTCATTTGGCTGCAAAAGCCTAATCGTAAAATAGTTTCACTGTGCTATTGTTTGCAGCAGAAATAGAAGAAAATTTGAGTTAAATGTATAATACTATTTGCTATAGTGAGCAAACACCTAAAGGGTGGGTACTGAGTTTTAATTCACAGACATATTAAATTGGTAACTTCTTGGGTACTAGTTCTAGAATTTTAATCTCATTCATCTAAGTTTTTCAGGTTCCTACTTAGTGGACCCGCTATAGCGTCTGCTTCACAAGTAATCATAGCTGCCTCGCTTCACCCCTTCTGCAACTATGTAAAGCAGGCAGGCCTGGGATAACAAGTGCCTTAGCAGGTGAAACCAGTAGTTACTCCTCGTGTTTGGCATGTGTCTTTAATACCATTTTCAATTAATCTTTATTTAATAACTGTTCTTAGTGCAGATCTCTGTATTAGGGTTTCTGTAGTTAGGTAAGTAGTAATAAACTGTATTGTGCTTTTGCACATTGTAACGATGGAGGCTTGTTCTGTTGATCATTTTGGAAGCTGTTTGACCTGGTGTGATCCAGTTTCTAGGTGCACTGGCCTATTTGATACTACTTGATATTGTAACTGAGTCTGCTTTTTCCTGCTGGCATAATTATGAGAGTGTCGTGTCGGGTTATCCTGCTCTCTGGGTATGTATTGGTAGGGAATGGAAGACTTGAGTCACAGAAATATTGTAAGGTAGCCTTCTTGATTTTGGGGAGTGATAAATACATAAAATTATTTTTCTGTGCACAGGTTTGGTTTTTTTTGTATCAGTAGAAGTTGTAAAAACTCTGAAAATTACTCTGAGATATATAAAGGTCTCTATCTCAACTGCATCACATTCAGTGTTTTTATTATCAGGCAAATCACACAAAAACTGATCTTTTATAGTATCATAGCTGTATTGAAGATTGCCTTATGGATGTAGTTCACCATGTAATGGTGGTTTAGGTGCTGCTTCTTAAGTTTTTATGCCTTCACTGCACTTTCTTCAATAACCTAAAGTTAAAAAATTTCCATTAGTCTGTTTGGTAAGGAATAAAGTATTAACTTCACACTGAGCTAGATGAACTGCTAGTTGAAGACAGTGAAAAGCTGCTTTTCCTTTCAGATCACCACCACTATGAAGTTAACACCATACAATGTACTCTCTATTAGAGATGAAAGTTTATACATTGAAGGGGCAGAGATCAGAGCAGTCAGTGTATGCAATTCCCAGGCTCCCTGTCTGGTATTTCCATTCAGGACTAACACTGTGCAGGGGGCAGTTTCACAACACAAGGTGTGTGCACAACTGGCACTGATCATCACGTTGCAGTGCCTTCTGCACTACTCCACACCCACACAGAGTGACCCACTCTGTGTCTGACAGGGTAAAATACAATTGTGTCCCGGGAGCTTGAAGTATTGGTCATGACAACAAAAAAAGTATTTTTCAAATTAATTTCCTGAAGAAATAAGAATGTGGCATCTTCTGTGTCTGCAGTACTGTCTCCTATCCCAGTAATTTTTGCAATTCCTACACTACTTTTCCAAAAGGCACACAATGTGTTATTCCACATGGCAGCGTTTCCAGTTGCTGTGTCCAACATGGCAACTCAGCAGAGCAACAACCACAGCTTATTCCTTCGCTAATCAGGTGTGCATGACATGAAATGAAGTGACTGCTATAAAAGTACCTACACATCTTCTTGTACCTGAAGTGTTCAGGTCTTCTCAACTTGGCTCAGAAATGTTTTGCAGTATTGAAAGGGTTTAAAAGGAGGAGGAAGAAGCTGGTTCAAGGGTATAGTCACGTTTTGTAACAAGAGAAAGGTCACAACCATTTTGTTCAGGTAGGCAAATGCAAAAAGGTCAAGTCAGGGTTCATTGCCTTGCCATGGTATTAGTTTGATGGCAGTGAATAGAAATGCAGCTTAACAAACACAAACAACTGATGACTAAAATAACTGCAAAAATCATCACTGAATTTGACAGATACTTGGCTGATACTGCTTAGCTGTCATTCACATAACTGGATTAAGAATCTGAAGCATGCAGATTTGGCTTCTAGAAATGCATGTCAAACTACACAGAGCTACTTAGCACTTAAATGCTGAGATAGTTAAGCTACAAATTGCATCTTCTAAATAGCTAAGTGTAGACTGAAATGTCCAAGTTTAATTTACTTCGTCCCATGCAATAAAAATAAGTGCATTTCTCAAAGCTATGGGACAAGCTGCAACTGAGAACTAAACTTCCATCTTCAAGACTGTTCTCAACTTACTGCTTCCAATATGTTTTTGGTTTGGTTAGGTTGATACCAGCTTTTTGATACAAACCTTAGCCACAAGAGGAGTCTCCAGTAATTTCAGCTTTGATGCTCCTGGAGAATTCTTTTCTGAGATAGAGCGATGTGTCTTTGATTTCAGTGGGATGGATACCACAAAAGAAGTAGAAGCTCTGCATGGTGTCTGCCAGCTTTCATCCTGTGCCGTAGAACAGGAAGGAACAGGACGAACCACCAAATCCAGCAATCTGTTAAGACACACGACGTAAACTATGAACATAAATAAATAAATGAAAAAAATGCTATATTCATCTGAGATGATACAGAACAAAAACATTCAATGGTCAACAAGTGCAGGTGAAGCCTCACTGCTGGGGTGCTGTATCAGGATCACAAACAAGTGACAGGCACTTTGGGGTGTCAAAGTCTATATACCAACAGCTTGATGGTAGTCAAGGTTTTAGTCTCAGCTGTCCTAAACTCTGTAAGCACATTTACATGTATTTGCATAACTAAGATTGTTATACAAAAACAGTTTCTCTATTACTTCTGAGGAGCCCCTGGTGGTCTAGTGGTAAGGGCACGGCGCTATCACCGCCGAGGCCCGGGTTCGATTCCCGGTCAGGGCCACTCCCGGGCAGGTGGAGCTCGTTAGCCCTTAAAGGCAACCCACCTACATCCTAAGGACCTCGCTGCCACCGTCCAAGCTCGCTTGGCCCCGGCAGATGAACCTTAGGATTAAAGGGTGGGCTCAGTTCCGCGCACACTGTGTCTCACCTAAAAAAATCCAATGCGCAGGCTGGAAGGTGTAAAGACCTTCCCGGGATCTTCGCTTGCGAAGACTGGCCATTATTATTACTTCTGATGAATTGATTCATAAATGTTACATATTGTAAGTGCAAAAACGTGAAACAAAGCTTTATTTACATGTACCTTCACACCAAATCCCTAATTCAGATTTCTCTCTTTCACTCTCTCTTCCCCCAAAAATGTAGCTCAAGAGTGAACTCTGCAAAAACGCTGCTTACCTGTAATATTGTGAGATACTTGTTTTCTGCTCATTTCCCAACCATACTTCTCTAAATTTGGACAATACTTTACTGATGAAAGTTGCTCGTGTATGCACATTTCCTGCATTAGCCTGTCGTGTTACTGCTGATAATGCCTTTGGCCTTGGGACTGTAAAGCAAGAGAGAAAAAATATCAGCCTTGTGTAATCAAGGTGATGACTGGTTGTTGATATTTCCCCCCTCTAAAAGTTACCTTCTCTTAAGACTGATGAAGGCAAACGGTAAGGCTTGGCTCTCTCTACAGCCAGCTTCCTTTGAACGGTAGGCAGGACCTTGCTATATTGGTCTAACAGAGAATTTCTGGCAACTGCTCTCTCTCTCAAGTGAGGATCACGATCATTCTGATAAATGAAATGAGTAAAGCTGCAAGTTATTTACAAGAGGTTCATTGCATGGAACTATCTCTGCTTTTCCTAATTGGGGCCTAAATTTGCTCAACAGACACAATAAAGTACATCCACTGCACAGAACTGCAGCAAGTTCTATCTAGCTGCACACCTGTTTCAACCAGTAGTTGAAAAGTGCAAGGAAGATGGGAATAACAACAGAACCTGCAACTCCCATTTAAAACTACTCTGGCACTCTATAGAGCTTAATTCTTATGTACTTGGTATCACCTGCAATTTTCAAATGGCTTACAGAAGGGAAGTTTTCCCCTGGTTTTCCTGAAATGCTAATGTCCAAGATGACTGACTACACAGGGCAACTGCAAAGTATGTTGGACAGAATTATGGGAAAATTAAAACAAGTTAGCAAAAGCTGCTTACACAAACCTTCTGGTTGTAACACAGTTTTCATGTGCAGGACCTAAACATTCCAAGACCACCTTATGAGTTTGATTTACTGGAAAACTATGGTTCCAGAAAACAGCAAATGTATTAAAGATCCCCAATGGAAGCTCACATAACACAAAATTTCATCTTAATATTTTTTAGAAACATAGGTAAGAATTTACGTCATAAAAGTAACATGAAGGTTGTGGAATCACAGAGCTTGCGCTTAAATTAGAGAAAGTAATTAAAAAACCACAAATCACTAACCAAAATCCACTATGTGTATTTTACCTGTGGAGCATCTAGACTGCTCTCAGCTTGAAAAATGAAATTGTGTGCAAGACACAGTATACAACATGCATTTCATTCCACAGAAATGAGTGACACAAACAACTTCCATAGTGTAAGCCATGCATAGCAAAGGGATCTGAGGAACTGAAGGAACAGATGGGCTGGTAAGAAAAGATACATATTTATTCCTCAGATGCAAACAGTTTTAAGTGGAGTCAGCCATGGTCTGTAATATTTAATTTATAATTTCACACAGCAGTTTTGCCATAGTAAAATTATTCCTAGTCTTTCAAGGAATGATACAAGAAACAAAGCAGGCCTTTTACTGAGGACTATCAAAACCGGTTAGTTACACCAAGAGAAACTTGCACACTCAGCAGGACTTCTACCCTTACCAGGAGATTAACCTTCATTGTCTGATTCAGCTGCAGTGCAGGGATATAGTTGGCACGCTGCAGATGGTGGACTAAAAGGAATTCGTGATTCTGAACACCAGCATTGGTCTGCAAAAACTTCTCCAGACACTCCTGTAAGAAATAACACAGTACAAAAATCTATTATGAGTCTGCCTCTTCTCTTGCCAAAGAGACGATTAAGACCTTTTTTTATCTTCTCCAAACTTACTTTTTCAGTGTCTGTGAACGGCAGCTTCAGTAAATCTTCCATTAGCCCCATCTCCTGACAGATTTCATACATGTGCTTTAACAGCTCTTCGACGTTTAACTTAGTGGTGTGTTGCTGCAACAGACCCCAAGCCTCCACCATGCACCTGTAGTTAATTTTTGGGAGAGGGACAGGAATGGGAACAGTATAACCAAAATGACACCCCAAAGTCATTGTACTCATTCAAAGATTAAAGGAAATGTAGAGGAACACAACTTGCATTATCTCTTCTCCCCTTTCCCAGTATCTGAATGCCAAAACACTGGGATAGATTTCCTTACCTATTGGACAACAACACAGTGAGGAAAAGCCGCACTTCACTGCTGCTTGACATGGATGGCTTCATCATCTGCATGTACCTGAGGGCTCGCCTGTGCTCTCCTTGGCACATGAGGGACTGAATAATTCTCGTGTGCTGCCACGGCACAGTTTTGATTGTAGCTGGATGAAAGAGCAGGGCCAGAGAATTCTGCACAAGTCAGAGATCACGTTTGTTACAATATTTGCAGACACACGTGCAACACATACAGTCCACGCTTTCTTAAGCAAGGCTGGAGGTGGCTTAAACTGACTGAGATGTCTAATGAAATGTTTGATCCAGGACATGTCAATAAACATTCTTCAGTATTTGTACAGAAAAAATTCAGTTAGCCATATGGAACAAAGTGAGTGTTTTAAAAGGAGTAATTCAGACTTTTCTACGTTAACAAATCTTTGTGCACAAATATTCCTTTTTTACAAATGCATTACTAAATAATAAGTTACTCTACAAACAAATTGTTTCTAGTGACATGGTGACAGGCAAAGGAAAACCTCCAGCATCAGGAAGAAAAGGAATTAGGTTCAAAAGTCACTTCTGCAATCTTCCATCTCAAATCTTGCTGCTATCATCATAGATACCACATTTAAAGTACCAAAATACTGTTTATGAGAAAGTGTTCACCTGGTCTGCTGAAAACCTCCTACAGTAGATAATAGCTTTGAAAATTCAAATATCAAGCATTATTGAAGTCGACTACTCCTGTGTTTTAATTAACTTCCCGTCAAACTAGTTGAAGCAAAATTTATAATCATGACATTGCTGGAGAGGTCAGAGCAACGTTACAAAACAAGCTTTATTGTTGTAGTACATTCTAATAGCTAAGAATCAATTTTTAAAAATAATTTTATTGATTACAGTACGCTGCAATGTGTATCTAAGTAAACTGTTACATACTCACTTCATAATCATTGTGATCTAGAAGCCAAAACCCTTGAATAAGCTTAACGAGACCCCAAGGGATAGCAAAGGCAGTTAGAAAAGAGTCAATTACACTTTCTGTTTTATCCGGAGAGGTATGCATGATATCCAACAGCAAATAAATTGTCTGAGAGTGAGTGCCTAATTAAGGTGAATAAATTGGTAAGAACAATAATTTATCACATTACATTTAGCAAAACAATGACATGAGAATATAAAAATGGTAGGAAGCAGAACATACTTATTAGTCTTGCCATTTTAAGCTATTATAACCTGAAGGTCATCAGGTCCTAACCACAAATTGCATTCTGAAAAAACAGCCAGAAATAAACACTCCTGGATTTCTGTAAGACAATCATAAAAGCCAAATCTGGGCATTTAAATACTGCCATAATAAACTCAGGCTCCTGTTTTAGTCAGTGGAGCTAGCAGTTGAACATCCAACTAATTAATTATTAATTATTTTGTATACTCTGGAAATGAGGAAAAATAACTATATAAATTATGGTGCCCTTAAAATACAACTTAGCACTGAATAATTGAAACTAGATTTAAAATGGTGTGTGGATCCTGCATTTGAAGTGTCATTTTCCCTTCCTGACATCAGTTGTTAGGGACATACTCTAATAAGACAGTGTGGGAGTACAACATTGTTTGAAGCCCTTGCTCTCTAGGCTCCCTTTTCATGTTACCCAACAAACCACAAAAGCAGGTCTGCATGGTCCAGCAGCATAAAAATTACGTTTCCACCCCATGACTCCACTCTTCTCCCTCTTTATTATTCTGTGTGCCTGGCAACTTTCAACACAACCAAAACAAGCAGAGATAGCTGGGATGGAAAATGGATGATTCTGGCAAAATCAGGTACTGGACAACCACTGTTAGGAATCCTTTTGCTCTGAAGCAGCACCTTTCAGTGCACCATTCTAACATGCAGTCATTTGCTACAGATATGGGTACTTAAAATTTAAGAACTGGAAAATTTTGAGAAAAACTAGGGGAAGTTTTTAACTTGAACTTCTTTAGGGAACCTGTTTTCTCATATCAGAAAAGACTTTGCAATACAACATTTAAAGGAAAAAAAAAAAAGGAAATCAGAAAAGATCCAAACTAGAAAGAAATAAAGCAATGCTTCTGTCCAGGACTTAATTCTATACTAAATGTGTTCACTCACATTGTGTTTGAAGTATACATTTAAAAACACTGGTAAACACATACGTGACAAACACATAAGAACATTTATGTGCCTATTCTGAAGGTGCAATGGCAAAAACTGGAAAGGATACAATTGCATGTTTGTCGCTTTCTTCAACGTTTTCCAGCAAATAGAGATCCAGCAGTGCCTGAAATGAAAGATTAAAAGGTTTTCTGTTGCTCCTGTCTTTCAAAAGACTTTGGGGACTGATGCTGCTGCTGCTGCTGCTTTCAGTGAACAGAACACTCACATGTAAACTAGCAGGTGGGTATTTCCCAGTTCCTCCTTCATCTCTCTGCCACAACTTCTCAACTTGGTCTCCTAACTGGGAAACCATTCCATCAATCATCAAGCAGTCAGAATCCCATTTGCCTCTACAACAAAAAGCAGCAAGAATTTAGACAGAATAAACCACTAATTCCAGCCTCCCAGTGTAACAGATTTCCACCAGTCAAAACAAAAAAAATCCCTCCTATGAGTCAAAGAAAGGAACACACCTACACAGGCATGATTATGGTTTGAAATGCACATGGTAGATATTTCTGTGTTGGAGGAAAGATGGTCTTTACATCACAAGGAATTAGTAAAGGAGTCTAAAGTAGAAATCCAAGAGAAAAGTTGCAGGTTTCTAGGTTTTCTTTGCTGTTGTATTACATGCAATCCCAAGGATGCACAGGCAAAGGGGTTTAAGTGGAAAAAGATGTCCTCTCCTAGAGTCTAACAGAGGAAGCTTTTCTAGAGCTTTCCTGCAAGTCTTACCTTGATAAACGCTCGAGTTTCTGTCGGTGACCAGTATAGTAGCTCTGAATCAAAGGATAGTTGTAGAAAGGTCTAGACAAATGCATGTGGTCATCTACAGCCAATAAAGTAAAAGCAAGTTAAAGAAGTAAGACCACTTCTTTAAGTGTTTTTTCTCAAGTACAATATTAAATAAGCAACTACCAAAGGGAACGGTTTTTTGAACATGACGTGAACATTCATAAAACAGATGTGGGCTGATAATAGAATTTGTAATCTATTTAAATGAAGAGCACTTCCAAGTTGTATTTTCACCTCGAGTAAGAAACAAAAGGTCCAGAAAATAAAATGCTTCTACTGTAAAAACAAGTGTTCCGGTATTACAGTTTAGGCTTACCTAGATCCTCAGAAGGGAGACTGGACCGACAGAACCAGATGACCACTTGTGCATACAAAGAAAGGAGGTTAGTTACCAGTTGCTTATTTGTCAAGTCTGTAAAACCCGAAAAAAGACATGAGATGATAAAGCCTGAACTGTTAGATACACTCAGGAAAAAGACATTTGTTTTTCACATAGGAGAAATTTTTACTATAGCAAAGGGATGTTGATGCCAACAACAATTTCTAATAACAGAAGCTACAGAAGCTCAAGGAACTTACAAGTTACTCATTTTGGCTTCCTTTATATTTTCTAGCCATTTGCACACAACTATAAATTGCTAGCCAAGAGTTAAGAATACTTTTCAGCATTACCACACACAGTTGCTTACACAGCTCACTGCTGAATCAATGCAGCCTCCCCTACCCACTCACATCAACTCCACAACCAGCCATTCCCCTGAAATCAAAACATCTTAAATCATAGTCCCAACTTCTCAGATTTAAGCCCCTCATCCCACCTCAATCTGATTCTCTCCCAACCATCCAAAACAGCAAAAGCTCCACACTTACAACCCAAGCATCCTTCCAAATCTTCATCAAACACACCAAAGATTTAGCAGTGCTATCACCAACCTTTCTCAGTAAGCTCTCGTGCTTCTGTCAGAAAACAGTTTAAGACTGTGCTAAGGCTGCTCAAAAGCAACTGGCAGTGCTGAAGGGACTGTAAGGTCTGTGGGTCAATGAAGTTGCAGGAGCCGTCAAACAGCGGAACACCTTGTCAAGAATAAATATTACATCATTAGTCCACAGAGCAACTGCAGAGTTCCAAAGGATACTTAAAGAACCGTGGGCAGTATCATGTCCTGGCAGATCACGGAATAAGATCCTTTAGGAAGGATTATTTTAGGTTTCAAAAATGACAACATGAGTACTCACATATTTGGTCCAGTTCATCTTTTGTACAGACTACTTTGTTCCATGTCCACTCGAGAACAAACCATAAATTAACAGTAGAACTTGGCTGCTCTTTAAAAAGAGAAAGCAGAAAAGAAATAAATACACAGTTTCAAACTAAAACATACAGAACATAAAAATAATATAAGGGGCACTACCTTCAGAAGTCCAGTGTTTAATACATCCAGTCAGAAGTTCTGAAGAACCTGTCTGGACAGCAGCTGACAATACTGCTTCCAACTGCTCCTCCTAAACAGACAGAACAGACAAAATAAAATGAGAACCTCACAAGCTTCTGATACCTTTTGAACCATCCACAGAAGTGTTTATTTCTAACTGGAAACTCATGCAGACATCACAAAGTCAACTAGTGCACATGCAACTAATTCCACATTCTTTCTCTTAATTCTAGCCCTGCCTGGACTCCTTGTTGGTCTGAGGAACACAGCAAAAATTTCCTCTGACATTTCAACTTCCTGCAGGTTAATTCCAATCTGCATTTGCGTGCCTCTGTGTTTTAGTCTCCATTTATTGAGTTCCAAGGAACTATTTTCAGTAACATCTTGTGCTAATACCCCTGATGCACTTTGTGCACATTTGCCATCAGGAACAGGTGAAGGGGACAGAACTAAAACGACTGTGTCTGCACAGAAACAGTGAAGCTCAGGTCAAGCAGCACAACATGAAGCAACTTTGACACCCAAAACATTAAGTTTTGTTAAAGTGCCGGAAGAGAAGTGAAATGTCTAAATTATAAGGGGTTGAGATTTCAGGCAGTTCAAATACTGCAGCATAACATCATGGCAATCTTTGAGAAGGCCAATGTATTCGTATGCATACACATGGGATATAAGGTAGCAGCTTATTTCAGCTGGTGTTCAGATGCTTCTTTCATGTGAAATGATCCTGTATAACATTTTACATTTTCCTTTTTATTTTCCTCTATGTTTGTTGTTTTGGTTTTCTTAAATTCAACACATTTGCTTCCTAGATGATTTCATTACATTCAAGGAGATTTCTACACATTAGAAAACATTTTTTTCTGAAAATGGCTTTGAAACAAGGAAACACATCAAATACTACTTACAGTGGCAAACAAAACTCTAAACCAAGCTTCTTGACCCTAATTCTGAAATTTATCTTTCTAGCACTCAAAAGCAATCCCCAGTCAAATGCATAATAACAAGTCTCCAAACAATATAGTCACAATTCAGCGAAGGTCGTCACAAAATGTTTTGCTTTCCCAAGTTATTTCCAAACCAGAATTAATACCAGAACATCTTATCAGAATATAAGAGCCTTCATCAGGCTTGCAAAATAAGTGTTCTGTGGGCTGGGTCATCTTCCAAAGAGGGCTGTTCCCAGTTAAACTCAGTTGTTTGAATCTAACAATACTTTTACTTTTCCTAACTAAAGGCAACACCTGCCTTTAAATGCAAATTGCAAAACACATAAAAATCAGATGATCATGTCTTGTAGCCTCTACGCTCCCATCACACAATATGGATGTATTTTCCCCTGGATTCCCCAGCGTACACTAACCTGACTCAAACTTGATGGCTGGACATCAACCAGCCCTGGAGTCAGCAAGTCACCTACAAGACACCTGGTGTAGCTGTCATGAATGGCTTCACTTATTAAGGAATCAGATTTCTTCAAAAACTTTGGCTTCTGAAACATGAGTCAAAACCCACTGATTAAAACAGTATTAATACTCCATCACTAAGGTGGAAGCACCAAAATAACAGTTCAAGTTTATAAAAAATATACTGTAGAAGAAAATATGAAAATATCAGCCATTGCAATGCTAAAGGAAGGATTTCCTAGTTTCTCTATCACTACACAGGCCCTGCCTTTTCACTGACCACTGACACAAAGTACATTCTGTAGAAAATAAAGCTAACACACAACTTTAAATCACACTTTGGAAGATCCCATCTATGCTTGTTTGTGCAGAAGCTGATTCAAGCTGGAATATTTAGTGAGCTGGAACTTAATTTGAAAGGATTTGTCACAAGCTGTGCAGTGGCTCAGAAGTTATAATTTGGCCAAGGTGGGGAGAAAAATGATTAATTTCTTCTTTGACAGTTAAATAATTTTTCCTTTTCTCCATTCTGTCCTCCTTTCTCAAGTTAATCAGGGATCAAAACCTAACTCCAGACTGTGCAGGCAGTTTGACTGATGGGCAATGAAGTAACTGCTTTCCCCAACTTCTACAACACTTTTGTTCTTACTCCAACAGCAACACTGCATTCCTTTCTAGGCATTCTATCTCTACCTGTGCTTCCCTGAAACAGTACTATTTGCATAAAACTGGCAGGACATAATTGCAGTTGTGCATGTGGACAGACAGGATGAACATAATGATCTCCAACCCTGAAGGCAATGCAAACCTAGAGAAGGTTCATTTCATCCTCAACATAGATACAGTAAAAAAGTCACCTCTTTCTGGGAGCTGGTGCAAGTCACGTGAACGACTCCTGAGTTCAGCAAGCACGTAACATCTGCAGAAACAAGGAGTGTTCAATAGCCTTCCATGCTCTCACAGTATGACCTGTTTCTGTTCTTTACATAGCAGAATCTGGAAAGACATACCCTGAGTGCCTCTTTTCTTCATCATATGACTTACAAATTTCCTTTAAAAAATTATTTTTGTCTGTAGAAACTTTATCTGTAGAGCTACCCAGGTGCTGTGCTTTGTGCCTCAGCTCAAAGTCATTTCATCTTGTAACCACCAGCCCTTCACAGGCTACGTTACAAAAGCACCAAAACTCAGCAGACTGTCAGATACGTTTCACAGGATTGAAGACCTTGTTAGTGCGAGGTGACCAGAGTTAGGTTTGTGAAGGTTTAGAGGTTTTTTTATTTGGTTTGGTTGTTGCCTGATAAACAAGGAACAAGATAACATCCAAGTGGCATTTGACCTCAGTTGAAATTTGTCACTATTCAAAGCAGTGAAATACCTACCAAAGTTATAGGTGCTTGGATTAAAAAACTGCTCAGGTGGTGGATAAGAAGGAGGAACTCCCCGACTTAAACTCCGCTCGTGTACCAGAATATCCAAAATGAGGTTTGGAGAAGTCAGGCTTATTACAGTATCCAGTGACCACAATGCAAAGTAGGGGCAATCATGAAGGAATTCTTCTGGCCTTAAAGAAAACAGGTGCAGAAGCTAAACACCAACTTTCAAATTATTTACTTGTGGGGATATTGAAAACCACTGAATAAAAACCTACCTCAGTGAGTCTGGCATTTGAGCATGATACCAGCGATTGATGTCAAATACACCCAAATAAACAGATGGTTTTTCATGACCGTGTGTTTTCACTTGCCAACTCAAGATTGATACACTGGTGTCAGGAGAGACTCCTGCCAAAGACAAGACATTGTTTCTTAATGTAGAAAATACATGGTATCTGTTGTTTTTAAAACACCACCTTCTATTTTGGTTTAATTCTCTTAAATTTCACTGATGAAACCCAACACCCAAGAATGATAAAAACAATTTAGAGAATATCAAACATTTCAGTAATAGGTTTCAGTCATACTGTCTCTTTTGTTTGTTCAAATTATATTTGTTCTAAACCAAATCAAATACATAATTATTAACTAATTAAGTTTTACACGCTAGATGAATAGTTTAGGGGGAAAATAAGCTAGGAGCACATATATAGATAGTTTTAGAAAGTTCATCTTTCTAAAGATTTATTTATCTTTACTTTTATACAGTTGTATCACTCAGCTAGAATGATTAATTTCCAGATTTGTCTCAATTACAAGTTCAAAGGATAACTCCAGCATATTCAGATTGAAATAACAGTATTATCACACTAAATAAATAAATAAATATAAAAATTAAAGACACAATCAAGACATTGGAATAAAGATTTTAACACAAAACATTCATAGTGTTCTATTTTGGTTCTCTCAATATGCGGAATGCTCTGTCTTCCCTGCTGAGAATGCACTCTCTAGACACAAAGTAAAGTATGTGAATATCCTCCGCAGGCCTGCAGTGTTGCAAGGGGTTCTTGAACCTCATACAGTTGGCCAACCCATCAATCCAGCCTGTCCAGATCCCTCTGCAGAGCCTTCCTACTCTCCAGCAGATCAACACTCCTGTCCAAGGTGATCCCAAACCGACTGAGGGTGCACTTGATCCCCTCATCCAGATCATTGATAAAGGTATCCCATAGGACTGGCCTCAATGCTGAGCCCTGGGAAACACCACTAGTGACCGGCTGCCAGCTGGATGCAGCCATAGGTCTGAATGGGGGAAAAATCCTCAGGTAACACTCCTGAGCAGTAGAGAGAATGATCTTGCTGTTCAAAGATGACAGCTGGCAGAATAAACTGACTGACCAGCATTATGAAGATGACCCCACTATACATCCCTCTAGCATGTCAGCAAGAGTAAAATAAAACCTATTTTTCCCTTTAAAGAATGATGTCCAGAGGAATAAAAAAGTCCCACATAACTTAAGCATCCAATTTCTTTTAAATAAGCCCAATAAGCTTGGCTAGACAGCAGGTACAGAACAGCACTCAGTGCTTAGATTCCCAAACCATGCAGTTTAGAATAACCAAACATGGACATCAGAACAAACCTTCACTAACACTGTCCTCTCTGTCAACATGGTTGCAAAATTTTTCTATGGTCTGAAAGCTGAGGAATTTAGTATTGCTGGTCTGACCTCCCAAGGGAAAGATCCCATCAGTGAGATCTAAACTGTACAGTTTAACGCAGTATTTAAAATCCTGGGGGAAAAAATTGAAGAAGAGAGAAAAGGTCACTTTGAGATAAAAACACACATTATACCTCAATATGAAATAATGAAAATATCTAATATGATATGTGTATTGTAATGTGTATTTCCTATGAATAGAAACTACATCTGACATGCAAGATAATTAAGTGTCAAATCATAATGGGCAAGTTTGGCTATTAAAAAAAAAAAAAAAAGAAAATCTTTTTAGCACTTCCCTAACATTAGTCAGATCTCTTACCAGCTCCTCCTCTAATCTTGTAGGAGACTAATGGGTGAGATATCCCTCAATTCCTTATAAAGAGAGGGCATGGACTGCACATGGACAATGCGTTTAGGATCACAAATTACTACAGAGTAAGCAACCTCTTTGATATACAAAGAAGTGGACATATAGAAAAGATTGTCAGGAACCTCTGATATCACCATTTTCTAAGAAAACATTAACTGAAATACTGTCTTTCCAAATATAACATCCATTCAAACTGTCTACCATACAATATGTGAATACTGTATGTACTTCTGAGGGTTGAAAGTCTAACATTAAATACACCACAGCTCTCTCAGGTTACAAACACAATAACATTATTTAATCACCTTGTGTGCTTTTTTTTTTTAAAGAGTGTCACTGTCAGAGATGATGCATTTTAAAGGAACATCCCCTTCTGCAAACACCCAACCTTTGTCTGTTCAAAAGCAGCACTTCCAAATGAGGAAGTTTTCCTATATATAAGGAGAAAGGGACAAAATTTAAACTCTTTCAAAAAATTCAAAATGCCCAGTCCCTATAGAGTACAACACTTGAAGAATCACCTCAATTTCACTCCATACCCTGTGAGAAAATGCAAGATGAACTACCAAAGTAGGAGGAAAGACTTACTCTGAATTAAGATTACTTTCCCACCAAAAAGATCTTGGAAGAGTTTCAAGCACACTACTGAACAGAATTATGCATTATACAGGTGCCTCTCATATATGTTGGACATCTGAGACCTAATGATGCCTCATTTATATTTTAAACACAATCATCTCTGGAACCAGTTCTAAAAATTGACAGAGACTCTTTGACCAAATCATACCACTGTTCATTGCATTTACATCTTTTGCTGGCTGTAGCCAGCAAAATTCTTCAGGGGCAACCCAACCAAAAAGTAAAACAGTTATATTTACAGCTACTGAGTTTCAGGATCAACGCTTAAGAGACATTTGTAGGTATGTGTTGCTTGAAGTCCAGCTGACTGAGGTCAAAAGAAAAACAGGACTGTAAAACGGAGATCGGAAGTGTATTATATATATACATTATATATATATATATGACCATATTTTAAGAAAGGGAGACAGACAATCTTCCTCAAGTCTACAGTTTGGTTACACAAAGCTATTGGAAGTCCTGTCTTCTCTTCCTACTTGCCATTCATGTGATGTTTAAATAATTTCATTGTAAGAGTTGTTTCCTCTTCAGGAATTGAAAGTGTACAGGTTCTTTGCAGATGAATGTAGTTGGAACACATAGCTTTGTAGTATAAAATTGTATGACTTGGTTTTGAAAAGTATGGACAAAAGACATGTCCAAAAAACTCACCAAAAGACTTTTTTTTTTCCTTCACTTCCTCTCTGAAGTTTCATTGTAAATATTAGCCTGACCAACTTAACTGATACTCAAGGAAAACTGATCTTTTCATGTCTCACATACAAGCACGTCTTACCTCATACATGACTTGTCCAGATTCCAGGCATTTTCTGCCACCAAATGCTAACTGCAACAGATGTAAACTCAGAGCATTCCCTTCACTGAAAAAGATATAAATTAGGAAATTTGATTACAAAGCTACTTTACAGTCCTCATTATCATTTTAATAGATCCAGGCTGAAACTTACTCAAAAACATGCTCTTGCTGAAAAGAAAAACACTGCTTTCAAACACATGATATTTGGTCACATTTAGCCACTAAAACAGAAAGAAGACAATTTTGACACTGACAGATTCCATACCATTGGAAAGTTCCAATATATTGTATGGACTTAACATTTTTGGAAATAGCTCTATATAGTGTTCTCCATCAAAACTGCTTTGAAGTCAAACTGAAGGCTGCCACTCTATGAACAGCTGGGGCTGATTAAACAGCTTGCTGAGGCTGAGACAAAGAGGTATCTCTCTCCTTCCCACGTGCACTGCACCCTTCCACACTCTGACTTGATTTCTTAGCCCAGCAGGAAACCATTGATTTGTCTGCTCAACACTGTTTGTTTTCTGCCAGGGAAGCCAAACTGGCTCACAAAGGCTCCAAAGACTGCTGAAGCTGTCACAAGGCGACCAGCAATACTTTCACCTCTCTCCTTTAGGGACAGCTGTATGTGAACAAATTATTAAAAAAAAAAAAAAAAAAGCAAAATCAGTGGCTTATGATAAATTTTATTCACCTTTGTTGTGTAGACTGAACAGCCCACAAGTAGCAACAATTGCGAAGATCACTCTCAGGCTCTTGAAAAGCAAGAGCACAGACAGGAATCCTTCCTCCTCCAAGCCTAGTGTAGTGCCTACATTTTTGAAAAAAAAAAAAATTGAATCATGTGCATCCTTGCCTTGGAATGGGTTAACCCATTCTACATTTCAAGGTTGAATGTAGAAAAGGATGTGTTATCAGGCACAGATTAGCTATTGATTTTTCATGTCTCACTTATTTAATTCTGGATACTTTAAAGAATATTGTCACAAAAATCCCATTATTCACATACTGAAGCCGCTCAGTGTACGCCCTAATTGCAGTAACTCGTTCTGAAAGATACATTCTAAAACCTTTTACATCAAACAACACCCATTACCTAATTTCGCTGAATACTACTGGATAGAACAAAGTGCCTTATAAAAATCAGATCTATTGCATCCCTACTGTCTGACATGACTCAAAGCAGCATGCTTTCCACAATTCCTCAATCCACAGACACAATAAGGAGAGCAATCTTAGTCCACTGCAGAGAAGGTGCTCCACATCGCCCATATAATACCTAATATTTACTTCAAATTAGGATTTCTGAACATTCCAAGGTTATACTCAACATTTCAGTCATGGAAAAAGGTCTCTTGAAGTTAACATACTTTCTGAAGCAAAAAATCGAGACCACTGCATCTCCAAGTGTGGCCAAGTGGAACGCAGTACTTACGCCCTCTTCAAAGTTCCCATATTTCCCAGTGACAGGTAGCCATCGGAAAAACCCACAACGAGCTGATTGCTTCTGCTTATGTAGCTCAGGGTTGACACTGCTGTTCCTGAAGGACTTCGTAATTGAAAACAGAGATGCCTCCCTGCTCTGGTCACAGCTTCTCTTCTTTGTGGAACTTCAGCAGGAATTCTAATGACAACTTCTAGATCTGCACACATAAAAGCAGGCAATACATGAGCGTGTTATGCCATTTCGGTTGCATTTTAGACTCATGTGAAAACACGGATAAACTAATTCTACCATCCCAGGTAAAATACCCATTTCTGCAAAACCTTTTTTGCTGTTTCTGTATCAATTCAAAGAACAGAAGAGCTCTTCAATTGGACAGGTACTCTCACTCCTATTTCAAAACCAGGTACAAGTGTAACCTTTGTAGACAAATTCTACTTGGACTCCATAAATCAGGACTTTGGGCCTCAGATAAATCTACCTGAAGGGACATCAACACCTGAAGCTGCTCCTGAAATAGCCAAAACAGTCTATGCAAGCTGAATACACAACTTACAGAGTTCATTCAATGCAAGATTTTTTCATAAGTCAGATTCATTTTAAAGGCCAAAGTTTGCCCCAAGTCTATTAATGGAAAAGGGAGAACATTCCCAAGAAATTTGGTACCTCTGACACAACTCCCTGTCAGGCAGCTGCACTGGCTCAGATGGTAAAATTTCTACATCCCAAGTATCACAGTGACAAAGGGATCTGGGTGGGAAGAAGCATTTACAACACCAGGAGGAGTACTAAGCCACTCCCAGTTTTGATCAGGTCAGGACCATAGGATGTCAAACTGCCATCTGCAACCCGTAGGCAGAAGTGTCAGAAACGTCCTTAGTGAACCTGCACTCTGCTATCTTCACAGTGGGTTCCATGCTGGTTTTCTACAAGACAAAAATTTTCTTACTTCTAAATTCAAATTCAAAAACTGCAGGCTTACCTGATGCTTCTACTTCATTCTGACTGCAAGATAAATCATCCAAACGAAGGTCAACCAGAAGTACACGACCAACATCTGTAGCCACTGCTGCCACTCCAAAAAGCCATCGCAGGCTCTGATGTAGGTGCCGAGTGCTCACACTGGCTCCTCCATCATTGCTTATGGGTTCTATTGCAGTTACCTACAGGAAAACTACAAGTTAACATTGAAGCTGTTTGACAAGATAAATAGTAATGACTCAGAAGTGCAGCCAGCAGTTAGCACATCAGAAAAACAAGAAAGTACAGGATCATAAGAAAAACAAGAAAAACAGTTCTGAAATATGCAGCCATTTTAAACTCACACACAAAAAAATAGTCCAGAAAAACATGATGCTGATTAAAGCCTTAGAAGAATAATGACAAAAATGCAGAAAGGGATGTTGAGAAAAAGGCTCTACTGGGTACTCCAAAGTGACAATACAGTAATACAGTACAGAAAACATGTCTTAAAAGAGATGCTCGGAGCTTTTCCTGAAATAGGACTGTGTAGAAGCTAACAACACAAAACCTTCCTTTCCCCAAAAAGTACATACCCTGCCTGGAAGAACAACTGCTTTAACCACTCTGGAGATCCCAAGGTCGTACAGACAGAGAACACTTCCCTCGGCTTCTTCCAACCCAACCAGGAGTCCACTTCTCTTCTGCCACGAAAACTCCTTTACCACGCGAACGGTGGGAGGCTGCTCATTGACTCCGCTGAAACGATACGCAGAGAGCCGCTCTCCTGTCACAGAGTTCACCACCTCCAGCTGAGGACCACACGCCAGCCACGCCAGGCCACTTCTCCCTGTAAGACAGAAGAAAGCTGACCAAACAAATCCCAGGCAGAAGGCGGAAACAACGGAAAAGTCACTGTCGCTGCACCTCCCCTTCAACAAATGCACCAAAGAGAGCAAGACCGACTTACCTACTTCTGGACAATCAGTGAAAATCACCCATTGCAATCCTCAGGCAGCACCTCCTACAACTAACAACCTCAGTGTTTTGCATTTGTACTTGTCATTCCTGTGCTCAACAACACTGACTCTCTGGGATAAAGATTACAATACATTGACCTCCAGTCTTTATTTGGCCTGGGTTTGCTACAAACCACCACCAAACGCACACAGGAACACAAGTTGTAAAGCATACTTCAATATAACCCATCTAAAACAATTCATTCCCAATTTATTAATTTTACTTCACGCATCACTACTCTGGGAAGGGATTGGGACATCAACAGCAAATTATCTTCAAATGGGCACTGCATGCACAAGTCTAAACTTCTGCAAGTGCTGATCACAGAAAGAATTCAATACCTGTTGCTTCCCTGAAGAACTTCAAGCTCAAAGGAAGGATTAGCTCCAGTACTGCACTTACAGTCAGGTAAGTAAGATTCTACCTGGTCTTAACACAAGCTCAGACACCCAGAGAGACATCCAGCTTGACTTTCAGGTTGCCTAGAAAGTCAACTACCTAATCTACTTAGCTGCTTTCAGCAACTCTCACTGCATCCTCCTCTGCATCCTATTAAATACTTTGGAAATCTGTGGGCAGTGCTTAACAGAGCTGTCCTCTCCCTTCTGTCTTTTCACTCAGACTGGAGAAGAAAAAGCAGCATGTTCTGCCTCTGTAACATTGTAGAAGAACTATTTCTGCATGGGATGTTATGACAGACAGAGCTTGAGCTGGTACAAAGAAATACGGCTCAAAACAAAACCACTGCTTTTTTCAAAACTGCCTTCTATTCCATTCAAAACTGAGGAGAATTCATTGACTCAGTAAGGTCATGGTATAAATTATTTTAATAGCACAAGATTGGTGCAGGCTTTTGTAATTTCAGTGCTGAACTCTACTGATGGTTTAATATTAGCATTTCTAGTTGTTAAAATATCCTGCTTTTTCGATCAGAACCTGATGCATTTTAACAGAACCAACCTGATGCTACGACCCCGTGCTTCAGGTAGTAACAACTTTGTATGAAGACCAAATCTAAAGGAAAATGCTCACCTCCAGAAAACTTCCCACACAGTACAGAGTCTAGGGTGGTCTCAGCTTCCTTAAGTGCCTCAACAGTCACCTCTGGAAACTGCAGCAGACTGCTCGTTACCTGAGCTGTTAGGTCTCGCATTCTTCACTGAAAATAAAGAAAAAAAGGCAAAATGAGTCTCATGTCAGCCATAAATATTTTTGACAGTGACCCAAGTTTCATCAGTATGCAGTGAAGAATCTCCTATACATCACCTCTACTATGCATTAAAAAACTTCTCAGTAGGAGGTATAATTTTCCATTTGTCCTCTCCCTTGATTTAATACTTTAATACTTTAATATTTGTTGTCAATTGTCTTCTAGTAGATATCACACATCATTCATGTCTTATTTACTTTTTATACTGCTAATGTTTTGAAGCAATACAGACTTTCATAGCTCATCAATTACACGTACTTTTCCATTACACTCAGGAGGTAAACATAACATAGTGCTTCAAAATACTCGTGTTTTTCTGTACTGAGATCCTCATATTCCTTATTGCTTCCCATTCTTCCTATTGCCTTTCCTTATCACTCTGCAGTATTTGACAAAAATTTCTAGGCCTTGAGGGGGCATGCACAAGGACCAGAAGGTTATTCTATACCACCTAACTTCATTGCTGGGGGTGGGGAGAAAGGGAGTCTCTTCCAGGGAGAAGGGCTCTCTTCCAGTCGGAGTGGTGTGGCTGCAGTTGGTTGGCTCAGGTTCCACAATGAAAATTTTCCATGTAAATCACTGCCTCTCTTTTGTACACTTTCATTATTAATATTGTTCATGTTACTCAGGAACTTCATTTTCTTATCCTATTTCTGTTTCCAGTAAATTGTTCTTATCTCAACCTGTGATTTTTACCTCTGTGCCTCTAATTCTCCTCTCCGGGACACCGTGGAAGAGGGGGAAGTGGTAGCGTTGTGTGGTTTTAGTGGGAGTGTTAAATTGGAGAATACCATTCCTAAACCACAAAGGACTATCAGACAGTTTCACACCTCTGCAGGTGCCCCACAAGAGTTCATGTTTCAGTATGTCAAGACAAATTTTTTTGTGGAAAAACCGAAGAGCTGAACTGACCTACAGGATTAAATAGGTGGCTAAACATGAGACATTCCATACACATGGAAATACAAATTACTTTAAGTATCTATATTTTGCACATTGTCTGAGTTATAGAAGAGACCTCTGGAAGACAAGACAGATTCAATTATCTTGTTCAAACAGCACTGCTTTCTTCATACCATCTCGAGATATTACACACAGGTCACTGTGCCTGGGTTGTGCTCCTGTATCTGCTGCTGGAGTGACAACAACAGGAAGCACGGGAAGCACAGGAAGGGTAACTCAGGGTCCTGCTCTAAGCACAAGTCAACATTTGAAGAATAATGTTGCTGATGGCAAAGCCACTATTGCAGGACGCTGCTGCAGCCAGGCCTGACCACTCTGCCAGCATTCACTGCTAGCACAGAGCAAGTTCCAAATGGGACAACTTATTTGCAGTAGTTTTGCTGGGTTTCCTTTCGGGTACTTGCCATCAGTTCCAAGTGACAACTTCTGCACTGCATCCAGGGCCTCCAGAGAGTAAAGAGCCCCACAATTTCACCAGCATTCTGACTTAACTGTAAGGATTTAATGGATATATTTTAGGAGTGACCTTTAACACCAAAGACTAAGGCAGGTGCATCTAGTTGGGGAATAGCATCTCCAAAATGTTTCTGTGTGTGTGCCCATTGCCTTTGAGGAATGTTCACTGGTTCCATCTGCTTTACACCCTCCCTTCAGGTATTGAAATGAATTGATGAGATCCCCCCTGAGCCTTCTCTTCTCCAGGCTGAACGGTTCCAGCCTCTCCTCAGAGAAGAGGTGCTCCAATCCCCTCTAACCACCTCTGTGGCCCTTTGCTGCACTCTTTCCACTACCTTCATCTCTCTCTTACATTGGGGAGCCCACACCTGGACACAGCATTCCAACTGTGGCCTCACCAGTGCTGGACTAGAGGAAGGATCACTTCCCTCCACCTCCTGGAAACGTTCCTCCAGCTCAGGAGACCATCAGCCCTCTGCTGCAGGGACAGCAAGGTGCTGGCTCACCATCACTCAACATCCCACTGCCTTTCCTGCCAAGCTCTTTCCAGTTGGGCAGCCCCCAGCACATACTGGTGCCTGGGGTTGCCTGGGGTTGTTCCTCCCCTGGTGCAGGACTTTGCGCTTCCCCTTGTTGAACTGCAGGAGGTTCCTGTCAGTTTATTTCTCAAGCCTGACAGAGTCCCTCTGGGTACCAGCAAGACCCATGGGTCTATCACCACTCTTCCCAATTTTGTATCATCAGCCAGCTTGCTGAGAGCACACTCTGCCCCATTGTCCAGATCATTAATGAAAACAATGAACAATGACCACCACCCACCCGCCCCAAAATTGTCTATCAGAGTTCTATGGTCAGGTGTTTTTCACTCAAGTGCAGTGTACAGATTCTTTTGCAGAGTTTGCACAGGTGCTCCACAAGCTCTCCAAGAAGCAGAAACATACAGCAGAAGTTGAAGAGAAAGGAATTTAGCACTCTGTCCCAATAGCCCCAACAGCTAAGACACTGTATCTGATGCAGACCAAAGATTTGATTTTCCTTTAAATAAGAGAATAAGCAAAAGCAACACAGATAAGAATTGGGCACTAGAGCAAATTTACCAAGCTATCTCCTATGGTTCTTGTCCAACATGACTCTACTTTCATTCAAGAGTTGCATCCTGTCTAATGTGGCTAAGCTAGTAAAAGTCCATGAAGTCAGTTCTGAAATGATGCTTGTCTTTACATTCCTTGGCTGACTTGGACAGAGAGACATAGATGCCAAGTGTCTCAGTACAGAGCACACCATTACACTATCTCACTGCCTGCCCCTCCCAGCACAAATTCTAGAATCTTCATTGGCCTTCTGGAACCACTGGCAGTCATCTTGTCCAGTCCCTGCTGTTCAAGTAGGGTCACCTGGAGCAGGCTGCCCAGCAGCATATCCAGATAAATCTGGAATATCTAATTCCCAAACAGGATTTTAAACCCAACAATCTGACAAGCTCAACTGCAGAAACATTTGCATCCCGTGCAACAGGCCCTGGTGTTTGGTGACTCGCTCTTACCAATTTGAGGATTCCATTCTCTCACCCACACAACTAAAACAATGTCAACCACCAAAGGCCTGTCACCACTCTTTCTCTAAAACTATATCCAACACCTTACTAGCCAGAAGACACTGAATTAACAGAAGCCTGATCATGCTAATTGCACTGACTTGAAAAAGACAACCCAGACACATGGACCAGGAAAGAGAGCTGAGGCAGCACGTGAATGAGGAGCTGTCCTCCGCAGCACAGGATGCAGAGCTGTGCCCAAACGCTGGGACAGCTGCCAGTCAAGGCTTACACCGTCACACAGACCGACCGGCCCCGCAAAGGCACCTGAATGGCCACGCTTGGCCATACACCCCACACCGAGTGCAGCAGTTTACGCCAGCAACTTTGCTGCACGATGCTTTGCTTCCTGCAAAGAGACCCCCACAAATCGCACTGGATTCCTGTGAAACTGTGCCCTCCCCATTACACCCATCCCTCGTCCTGCAATCATCATTCCTTGCACAGAGAGCATTTCCCGCCTCCTCTACTTGGCAGTTCCCAACAGTTCACAGAGAGCAGCCGGGAGGGGAGCAGTGTGGGCGGCCCCTTCAGCGAAGGTGTGCATTGAAAGCCTTATTAATCAAATCATCAGATCCCTTGACTCCCAGAGCAGCAAATCACACACTGCTTGCCTCTTACACACCACGGCCTCCTGCTGAAGTGCTTCTGCCTGGCTGAACAATGGCCACGTTGTTGTCATGCACTCGCAGGGTGCATGCTCAGCCTCGCTACTTTCAGAAACAGTATATATATATATATATATAACCTGCATAAGGGTACCTGCAATGCGAGAGCATACGCTACATTATGGTGTTCAGGTCATAGGAAGGCCCCGGTGCCAGCAGCAGGTGGGAATTGCTGCAAATCACGCCGAAGCAGCAGTTAACAGAACTTACGTAACGATGAGCGGAAGGTTGGGAGCTCGGTAACAAGTCCAACCGGCCCAACACAGCTTGTTCAGAAACACGTTGTACAGCTTACATAACCAGGGCTAACAACTTCATATGCAACACTTTTCCGATTAATATGTATATCCCTGGTTAATAAATATGTGTATCACCTTGAGCCAGGCATGCACCTCAGGCAGAGTTATCCCCCCTGTGTGTCCAGCTCCGTAACAAGGTAATGTCTACTTCTTGATACTACACGGGTTTTAAGGAGTTTTATTCCTGAATTTTGGTGACAGGACCACAGGTCATTGTGCGAGTGTCAGCAACCAAAGTCAGGTCACGGGGCACAGAGGCCCATCCGTGTGTGCAGTGTCAGCAAGTGGGGCAGTGAGGGTCTCAGTGCCAGGAGCTGGGCTGGAGACCACAGGGATGGGTCACGTGTATCCAAGCTGCCAGCAAGCGAAGGGGGGTGTATTTTCCCCTTGCCATATCACAGAATCAACTAGGCTGGAAAAGACCGCTGAGGTCTTACATTGAGTCCATGTAAAGTGGTAGCAGACTTCAGGGCAGGCTAGCCAGTAAGTAGGAGGAAAAACCAGTCTCTGGGAAGATGAAGTGTTTCAGGCAGAGGGCAGGGATGCAGCCCAGGGTGGGGGCACAGCCAATTGCTGGGCTAGAAGCTGTGCTGAGCTTTCCGGGTGTATGTAAATGCAGGTGTGTGTGGGAACCTACAGGCAAGGGAGGGGGATTTTGGTGAGTTGCCACAGTGCTAGATGGGAGGTGTCAAAGGCACAGCCCTGGTTCTAGGAATCTATACAGCCAGACATGTTGTTGCCATGCACGTGCACGGTGCACGCTCAGCCTCACTCCTGGCCAAACCTGCCAAGAGGAAAGCAGCAGCCACGTCCATGGGACTAGGACAAAAACACCTCCAAGGTATGGAGTGCACCAAGGCAGGCTCCTGTGACCAGGAAGGAAGATGTCCTGGGTCAGCAGATTTGTAACAGCCCGTCACTACTTGGGCAGGAACTGACATCAAATGTTAACCTTCACAAAGGTAAATTCATTAACTTTAAAAAACCACCAAAACCCAACCTGTTCTGTACCAGCTTAAAGGTTGAGAATTAAAATTAAAAATAAAGATCCAGGACATGATTTTTTTACTCCCTCTGTCCAAGACCTGTCTTAAACAGGAGTAACTCAGATTCTATTAGGGCTATGCATTTCCATGTTGATATGCGAAGCGAGATGGGAAGGAGTGAGTTTTCACTGTTGTGTTTATCCCAGGGACGCACAGGGGATGATGTCAAAGGGAAACAGCAACATGTTCACAAATTGTATCCTTACATTATTTTGTGGGCACAGAGCTGGGGAGGTTGGTTAGGGAAAACAAAGTGCTCTTTCTTCAGGGAAGTAACACAGGAGTAATTCACAAGCAGCCACCAGTCACCAGGGTGGTATTATTGTAGATAGAAGGCACTACGGCACAGGAGTGAAGGTTTCTGCTTACAGTAGTGCTATAATCCACTCGACTATAAGCACAGCAGGACTAGTGATGGAGTGGGAGCACCCAGCAGCTACAAAAGCTGTATTAAGACTGAAAAAAAGACTTCTAATGCATAGAGAGGTATGGCACAATAAAGCTTCTGTCCTATACAAAGTTGTACAGAAGAAAGCATCAATTTTCTTTACTGAGGTGCTAGAACGACTTTCTCCTTAATACCCTGTGCAAGAGTGAAGTTAGGAAGCATAAAGAATATTAAAGATCAGTGTTTGAAGAGTTGTTTTAAAAGAGGTTACTATAACCTGACATTTTTGGTTCTAATACTAGGAATCAGTTAATTACACCCTTGACAAATTGTTAGGGTTTATCTGTAAATCTAGCTGTAATATATCAACTTCTAATTCAACACTATTTTATAGGATCCACAATGGCTTTACTCTAAGTTGCTCCATATACTCAGTTTTTAATTTTTCCCAATTTGAAGTTAACTGATTCTTTTATAGCACAACCTGGAAAATTCTTGGAAATAAATGATGCTTTGTGCTACTCCCACACGGTATTGCTTGATCTTTCCCTGATGTCAGATGACTTTGAAGAGCTCTTTACACACAACAGGCACCAGGCCACTGCTTGCACCATAAACAATCATCCAATAGCTCTTCTCCGGACTGGTCTGATTGTACACCAGCAGAGCAGCATTATAACCTGACCACGTGTTCTCCAGCACTCCATGCCCAAAACCACAAAATGCCCCACTCTAAAAACAAAAACCCCACCAAACCACCAAGTGCAGCCTCTTCACAGATGTGCAAGCGCTGCTGTCCAGTTAAGTGTCCCCACTAAGAGTTTAAATTAGCAATCAAGATTTGCAAAAATGCTTGAAAGTAGCAGAGTTGCAGGATGTCAAAAATGTAGATAACATCTAGGTAACACTTCAAACCAGTAAACAAACCAGACATTTGCATTACATTTATGTGAATGTTAATAAGGAGATATTAAAAAAACCTGATCAGTCTACAACAGTATATTAGCTAAAACTAACTTTAGTTGGTTCTTTGAGTAAAATCTTACCTGGCCTGTGTAACTGCTGGATCCTGCTGAGATGAACGTGCCATTCTTGTCCTTGAGGAAAGACACCATAGTCAAAAGCCCCAACAGATCAGATCAAAAGTAAAGATTTCCCTGTGCCCTGGATTCCCGAGGTCGTGTGTGCTTGTGCTGTTCATTTTTACAGAAATCACACACACCTACTTCCTGCACCCTGCTGTTATTAAAATCCCAATTATAGGATCAAAATACAAGCCATCAGTCATTCATTAATAATTCATGTTTTAGCCCGGATTTAAACCAAGTTCTGCAGAATGCACAGCACATCAATGACTGCTGTGGGATAAGCCTGTTCTAGAACCACGACAGACAGGGAGTAACTGACCTGAATGAATGGACACATCATTCAGCAAGTAAACCAAACCACCACACCACAACTTGCATTTTTGCCTCTGCCTCACACATACTGGTCATCCACACAGCCCAGGGCATTGGAAAATGCATTTTATTTTAGGACAGCTTTAATTCAAAAGGAACCACAGTACATTGATCTCCAAGCATATCAAACAGACTCATTATCTTGACTAGTTTGGTGAAAAAAGCATTCCTAGAATGGTAAACCAGAAGTTTTGCACAGAAGACAAAAGTACAAACAAAAGAAGAAACAAATCTACCCTATTACCTAAAATTCTGTTATTTTAGTATTTTCAGATTGGTCTAGTCTAATCAGTTACAAGCATTGCTTAACTACTCAAGAGAACCTATGGAATGGTTTCTGCCTGTACCTTCTCTTTTCCCAAGAGAAATCAACAACTATTAGCTATTTATGATTAGTTACATGGGAAGTAATCACATGGGAAGTGATGAAATTGCAGCAAATAAAAAAAGTACTGTGCTAACAACCCTGAGAGTAGTCTTCCATGAGAGGAAGTTCTGATATTTAGTTATCTGTGCCCTTATTTGCACACTGGGCATGTACAAATATTAAGGCAAATAAACAAAGTCAGTGTGAATCAATTAGCACTTTAAGCACCAAGTGGCTATCAAAAGTAAAACAGATTCACTTTAACTCTCCTTTGTGTTATAACCTGGAATGAATACTTTCATCAGCCTTAACTTCTAAACATTTGAAGAAAAAAGGTCTTAGGAATATTTGTGTTAACTCTCAGAGGTAATGCAGGGAACCATTTCCACTGAAACATTTCTTTTCTTGACAAAATACCTACTAACAACAGCCCTTAATATTTTTCAATCTCCCTCCATAATAACTCCTACTGTGTGTTTCCTGGAAATAAAATCTGCCATTACACCTAATTTTATTCTTTCTGAGAGGTGGGATTCTGCTACCCCAAGGCCATCAACATTCCATTGGAATTTTCTCATGTTACATCCCCAAAGGAACAGATGCACAATTTGGCTTCAGCTTTTAGCCATCCGACATTGGATCAAAGGAGATGCACCAAAACACTCGTGAGGAATTCTAGCACCCTTCAAGCAATTACTTGCCCATGGAAAACAATGTTCTGTTTAGTGATGAGCTGTATCGAGTAGCTCCCGTGAAATTCTCATTGTTTGCACGAAAACTGCCACTCTATGCCCCTACAGCCTTCTGCATGCATCCACCACAGTGCATCACCTCTTCCTTTCACAGGCCCCTCACACCCTTCTCTGGCACTACAAATATCATCTTCCTCTCAGGTACAAATGCAAACATCTGCAAATCATCCTTTCCGCTCATCCTACACATACTTGTAGCAAGCCTACACAAAAAGCACCCACATAAAATGTTCTCTCCACTCCATTAGAAACTGATCTTAGCTAGCTTCTCCCTTTCTCAGGCTCATACTAGAAATTCAGTGTCTGTTTTTGCTTCCATTTCCTCCTATGTCCTTCAAATTTCTGAACTCTCACTCCTTGTTACACATTATCCTCACACTCCTTTTTAAACCGCTCCTTGGGGAAACCGGTGAGCACTGGAGAACAATGCACCAAACCCAAATTACAAAAACAAAACCAAAAACCAAACCAAAACAAACCCACAAACAAACAAAAAATAACACACACACAAAAAAAAAGGAAAAGCAAGGGAAAAAAGGAAACATTTTAACACATAATTAACATTCCTTCAAACTAAAAAATTAGTAGAAAATTACAAACTTTTAGGAAGTTATTACATTTAATGCCAACTGTCTTTTATTGCTATTGCTTGCTTTCTTCCTAAGCACAGCCAAATGAGAATTCAGCTGATGCAAATGAAGAGGCTAAACATTAATTAGCTAATATTATGTTTTCATTTGTTCTAATTGATTTTCATACAAAAAATATACACATATGTAAGTGTACATGGCAGAAACACGTTAAAACCCTATTAAGTAATCTTCACTAGAATTTTATCAGAAAATTCCATTTGAGAAGAACTGGAGTACTTTATAAATACTCTTGTGTACTACACAAAACATAATCTGATTTGCCATCTATATTCTCTTCCAGTTTTGAAAGTTTGATCTTTCACCTCATTTTCTGAGCTATTCACTGCATTTCTGTACAATGTAGATATAAAAAAAATATTGCTAGAACTTCCCTCCCTTCTCCTCTGACTGTATTTATACTGTCATTCAAGTACAGGATACTCAGAGAAAATAATTACTAACCTGACTAAAGGTCTCATCCAAACTGCCACTCTCACACTTGAAACATCTGACATTTTTTAAAAGTTTTCATTCAGTCATGAATACTCCCTCAAGGAGAAAAATACCCAAGTGTGTGCAACTGCTTCTCTAGAATGACCTGTTCTGATAGAAAAATCGTGGCCTCAGAACAATCTTCTTTTACAAGCTTAGTCTGTTATTAATACATTCATTCACTATGTACAAGCTATTAGTTAATAAATAAATTATGTCTTAGAGTAACTGTAGTAGTTTTTACTAATTGAAAAGTTTAATATCAGGTTCCACCATTCTGTAGTCTTCAAAGTTGCATCCATATATAAATTAACATACAGAAAAATAATCCATTGTCTAAAAGACTGCACATCAAAATAGTACTTCCATGTCTGCTTTTAAAAGAATAGGTTTGTGACTTTATTTATACAAATTGAAGCTTTATAGGGACATTTACTCCTTAACCAAAGACTGTTAATGAAATAATTATTCAAAAATATGGTTTGTAACTAAGATTTCTGTACATTTTTGTACCTTTTTCAGACTATTATATTAACTTTACCACTGGGTTTTCAGTGCTGTGATATGCAGGCCCCAAATACTGCAAAATGTTTACAGACAGTAAGTATTTCAATTCTAGTAGCATTCATATTAACATTATGAAAATAATTTTGGCTCAAATTTCAAAGTATGTGGGTAGTAACCCATCAAATTCAATATGCTATTGTAAGCATCACACCATCTATACAGTTAATTTTTTGCTGACAACAAACTGTAAGAAATAGCAAAACATCTGAGGTGTGATCTAGTTTTATGAACTAAAGAGCAGCTTTCCCAAAGTTTAAGACAAATACAAAAAAATATTGCACAGCTTAAAACACAATTGTTTACATTCTGACTTCAGTACAGTACAACTTAACCGTGAACATAAGGAATTACCAGTTTGTATTGCGAGTCCAATTATTTGTACCAGAAGGTCAAACATAATTTCTAAAATTTAAAACAGTATGTTTAAAATGTTTACTTGTTATAGGAATTCTAAACAAACCTTTGAAAAGCTTGTGGAATTACTTTTAAGGGTCTGTAACTCCCACAAACCAACATTAAAAGTTCTGAGCAATACAGGTCATTCAACCCAATATTCCCTCAAAAAGCTATCAGACAGTAAGCACATTGTGAAGTATACATTTTTATTTAACATTCCTAAAATAAGCTGTATTTACATATTATATAAATGTATGAAGTCTTAATATAAAATAGAAAACTGCATTGACTGAGGAAATCACACTCCATATGGAGTTACTTACTGAAGACCATTTTTTATGAAATTTTACAATAATTTATATAAATTATCTCTTCCAAATTAGATGATTTTTCTTCTTTTTACTAATTCACACAATTTTGATGACTTTACAAACAGTGGTGTACATTATAAACTTAAAAAAAACAGTTACAGCATCTTCCGGCGCAAAACTGGCTTTGGAAAATTGGACAGTCTTTTTTTGTTCTTTCTCAGAGTTTTCCCTGCTGCATCTGTGGTTTCTTTCTGCTTGCTTTTTGTTCCATCTACTGGAGTTGCAAAAGGAGAGATGAATTTTACTTCCACGGGTGGAGGTGACCAAGAACACTCTTTTGTGGTTCTGAAAAGAAAGGTAATTATCAAAACAATTTTTTATTTCCAACAGTATTTAGTAGAGGGAAAAAAAATTACCATGGAATTACAAAATCAATGCTGAAGAAATATTAACTGACTTCTTTGTAGACAGAAGTAAAAAGTACCTAAGTAAGTTTCATTTTGCTTTAATTCCTTAACAGACTGTCCCAAGCATTCTTGGTCACTATCTGTAAGAGTTTTTAGAGCTCCCTGTCCCAGCTTTTAAGAGGTAAATTGTCCTCAAACAGCTTTCCAGAAGGAACCAGGAAACATGTCCAGAAGAAAAAAGTTCCACAAAGAGCGTGGAACCTCTTTTCACCATAAGGTGAATTAAGACAATTAATTAAGAGTGAATTAAGAGCATGACATTATTGCAATGATTAGTATCCACCTGCCCTTTTCTAGCCCCTCCCTCTTCCGTTTCCTTTAGAAAAACAAACCCTTAAATGGGGAAAAAGGTGCCTATTACACCAGCAAACCGGACAGGCTCATAAAGTCAGAGAAGAGAATTATGCAGACAAGTGAGGAAGAAGTAGGTGCTTAACAGCTGAATCACTGTAACAATAAAGAAATGCAAATAACTATTTAAAAATAATTTCATACTTGCTTGCTTTCGTCGTTTTTGATTTTGTAGTTCTAGCTCTCTTCAATTTTTGCTTTCCCTCAGACTCTATGGATTTGGTATCCTCTTCCTCTTTAGTTGGAAGCTCCTATGATAAGGCAACAAAAAATGTTA